TGTGTGTGTGTGCGTGCGTGTGAGTGTGTGGCCTGTACTCAGTTTACATAAAAATTATGTTGGTAATGGGGGAGGGAGAGAAACAGGGTGGGCAAAATGCAAAGGAGGAGGCTTAAACTGAAAATGTATTTAATATATCACAATCATTTGTTGGAAACAATTGTCCATTTCATGATTGTAAATTGTCCTCTTCATGCCAGAACAGTACTGGTACTGGAAGGGAGGCGGGGTCACACATTACAAGAAGAACTGGGTTCAGATACTTGTTCAAAAATCATGCATGTTTTCATTTAGGCCTAATCTCTCTCTCTCTCTGTCTCTCTCTCTCTCTTTTTATCCTTCCAAAAAACAAAGGAGTATTGATTCTCAGTTAGAAAATAAGCAAGAAGAGAGCAACCAAACTAAACAGAAAGTAAAACTTAAATCCAAAATACTTATAAATTACAGAAATACAGATAAAATACTTGACAACACTGATGTCTGTGGTTGTTCATGAATAAAGAGCATGTTTGATAAGGAAGGGACGCACTCCAGACCTGGATTGAAATGAGGATCACGTCATCAAACCCATGTCACTACTGCATTGTTCTTGCATAGCGTTGGGGAAATTAATAATTTCCTTTTTACAAAAACCTCTCAGCTACTGCAGCAGACCAACATTATATGCTGTTATATTCCAGATAGCACAACAACCTGATGCACAGTGCAGGTGGTCCTCACTCTACTAGTCAAGCATCACACACAAATCCTCAGACTGTGCTGTCTCGTCTAAAATATCTTCATCTTCCTCATTCTAACCAAATTTGTATAGGATTACTCAAGTTCTCAGTCAAGGTACACTAAACCTTTCTTTCAATGTGATATGCTTCATGAAGCTCATAATGCAGTTTTTAGTAGCTGCAATAATAATAGTAGCTGCAGACGTCCACAGTGAGTCAATTTCCTGAATCAACTTGCAAATCATGCCTAAAAAGTTGTCACTGTCTATCCAGCTGTCTGCGGGTGTACAAACATAATTCTCACGCACTGACTTGAAGTCACTATGCTTCACATTTTAACCAAGTAACTAGCACAAACTGACCTATTGTCATCATATAAAGTTGATATGACAAACAGTTTCTTAATGCATATCAGGCAGACACAAAGCAACATTAGTTTAGAGTCGTGTTTTTGACCACCCAATAAATGCAAGTCAAATATTCACTCTCTTTTAGCTCTGTTTTGGTCTCCACTATGTTCACCAGCTAGTCGCTAACTTTGTCTGTGTAGCGTTCAGTGCTGGGCAGGTAGTGTACAGTCAGTTTATTTGTAAAGCTTTCCAAAGGTTACTCAAAACAACACTTTTCACATTTAGCTTTTGTCATTTAATGCACTTTAACATAAAAATATTGATAAACGTACCTTTAAAGCAAAATAAAAAGCTTAAAAAGAAAATTACTAATTCAGGCCATTGATCATTTCTACTTGGTTTGCTTTTCCCTGATTTTTATTCAAAATGCTGTTTGCCCCAACACAAACTTGATGCCACCGTGGTGTTATAGGAATAGTTCAACATTTTGGAAAATAAGCCTACACATCCCTTTCTGATGAAGAGTTGGATGCGAAGATCTCATACTTGTCCTTTAAATATGGAGAGACAGCAAGTTCGGCTCTGTGTCGCAGCAGCAGCAGCCCGGCAACCAGCAGAGACTCCAGAGTGTTACTGCTGCCAGCCAAGAAATAGTCTGGCATGTAACTCCCATAACAAATGGCAAATTGTCGCTTTTACACTTTCTGTCTTTGTACAGATTAAACGAACAAGACATAACATGTTAATCTATCAGTGAGCTTTAGAGGCGCTGGTGGGAAGAGTTTGTTACCTTTGGACGGAGCTAGGCTAGCCATTTCCCTGTTTCCGGTCTTGGTGCTGAACTAAGCTAACTGCTGGGGGTTACCATTTAACAGACACATATCAGTATTCATCTTTTCATCTTTCTCTAAGCAAATAAGGGTATTTCTCAAAATGTTTATTTAACCGTCCAACTTGACCCTACTGCTGACTTGTACTGACATTCTGCATTAAATGTAGGACATTTCTTTTAATTATTTGTATGACTGACATAGTGTTGACATGACATATATTTTAATTAGCCAACTGTGTTCTCAGATCACAATATATTCTGTAAGATCAACTTGGCATGTTCAGTAAATAGTAAATCTTTATCTTACAAAATGCCCTCTTCACAGTTTAGTGCTCTTAGGTTTAATCTTATTCAGGCTATGTTATACTAGTAAGACTAATATTAGTATGTGTATAAACAAATGTACTGAGGCATTTCAGATAAGTGTGAGCTGCCATTTAACTCTCCGTTTCTCAGACTACTTTTCTATTATGTCACTTAGCTTATGTCAACTAAAGAGGTAGTTGCTTTCATTCATACATGTGAGAGAGTTAGGAGAATGGAAACTTAATTTTACTGCAGAGGAGGAAGATGCCAAGAAGACGGAGAAGGTTAGTCACTTGTAACAAGGGGATCCTTACAGAGATGAGGAAAAAAAAAAGATCAGTACTTTTACTATTTTAGCATGTCAGCAGGGTACTTTGCTGACAGCATATTTTTCTTTCGTGCTTTACTATGTTTAATTACCAGTCACATGCAGAAAACAGGTTGGACTGCAGTGTGTCTTAAGTCTTTGCCCCCTTTTCTTGGCAGTGGTCTTTTTAAAATGTTATACATACTTCTGTCAAAATGGAGTTTTGGCCAAACCTGCTGCACCAGGTACAATCTGCAACAAACTCACTTAGGTGTTTACCAGGAACTAAATAGATTATAGTATTTTTAAAGGAAGTAAAAATAACTAGGCTTTTGTTACCATGTGAGACAGACTTTTAAGGTGTCTGTATATCTCCTTTGTTTAATCTCTATTTTGTGTATTAATAATATTAAACTCCTTATAAGCTAATCACCAAGGAAGTCCAATTGGACCTCATGTCTGGGAACCCTAGGTCTGCAAGCCAATAAGAAGAGACTAGGTCCCCATACATGAGATGCTTCACTTCCTTCCTAATGAAAGATTTAGCTGGCTGATATGGAATGCTGGGTTGGGACACGGAGACTGGACTTGACTGAAGAGTTTAGGCATCTGGTACATTGGCACAATCTGTCACAATGCAGGAGCGTGGGGGCCGGGGAGCAAGTGTGTGTGTGTGTGTGTGTGTGGCCTGAAACAGATGATGATGAAGAAGAACTACTGCATTAATCCCTTTGGGGAAATTTTGTCCAAGAAGGAGGACTGTAAAACTAATTTCTAATACATACAAGCACAAATTATTAATAAGGGAAAAAACATACCTTTACATAATGGCTTTAAAATGCCACTTTCTGCTAGTTGTAAGAATAACCAGTGTGGCTATTGATCATGCTGCCTGTCAAGTGTGGTAGCTGATAACTGAGACACAGCTGGTCTCTGATGTGTTAAGTGAGACTGGGTGAGAACATTCACAATGAATCTGTAAAACAACAGCGCACTATGTAGGTACAGCAAGGTAAAGAAACTGGGTCACCTCCTCACTCTGTCCTTGTTATTATCCGTTAATAGACAAGAAGAGGATAACCTTCTCTGCAACACACTGTACGCAAACACACACAGGGCGACACAGTGTCTTACACCATTTACAGGACAGATGGCGGCATGCCTGTGAGGTGATGTCGCTGCTGTGACCCTCCCACTTAACAAGCGCTGTTCTTCAAGCTCCG